CTTCTCCTTCAGACCTCGAATCTGCTTCAAAACGACCGGTCGCTTTTCCCTTGCTACCGGTCGCCTCCTCCTTCACTTGCAACCTTAATGTGAGCCATTTTTCCAACACATATAAGGCACATCAACCCCTCTCCGTTGGTCGATGTGGGATCTTACATCACATCCTTCCAGTTAACCCGAAGAGAGCCATATCGTCATACCGGCTAAATCCAAACCCAACACAACTCGTCATTGCAACTCCAAACCCATGTTGAAGGCTGGCAATTGGAGCCAATCCTGGTGTACTTGGGTCAAAAGACAACGACTATTAAGGTGACAACAACGTTTTATGTCGACTGCTTTCACACCACAAAATATGATAACAAAGTATAATAAAGAGGAAAGGAGAGGGGAGGAGATGAGAGAGGATATGAGGAGAAAAGGGAGGGGGAAGGGAGGAAGGTTGCCAACGCCAATGGGGTGGCATTGCCCTCAAACTTTAATGTGAGCGATAACATAAAGTCGCATACCTTTAATGTAAGTAACGAACTCGTTTGGTAACTTCTTTATTTTTTTCCTTTTTTTGTTTAAATTTTTATTATTGAAAGAAGATAGACCAAGAAAAATATAAATTGATAGACGTGGGAGGAAGCTGAGAGAAAATATGTAGTATGCACATAAAATAAAAATTATAGAAACGTTTTTTTTTTTTTTTGGTAGAATTGGGGCTAGAGCCCAACAACAAAAGAAATACCACATAAACATTTTCTAGTACCTTCTAACTACTTTTATTCATATATGTTTTCTTTCTCTTACGAAACAAACCCTAATAGGTTAAGTTGGGCCGGTAGGTGAATGGTCGTTGCTAAGTTTTAATTTTTGCTTGAAATTTTTGCTTTAGTTTTCTTTTTTTAATTTATTCAAAGCTAAACGACTTAAGTTGGGGTTAAGTATATGGATAAGTGTAAACAAATCCGATGCAAACATGATTTTGGGCGTGATTAAACGGTTTTGGTAATTGTTAAATGTCTAGGAAGATTGTTGATGTCATAGGATTTTTAGGAGGATTAGTTCTGGCCTTGTAACTCACAATGATATATAAGACTCATCTGATGATTATGAAGAGCTGCAAGAGGATTCTTCCAATCAATCAAATGGAAGGCTAGAAAAAGGAAAATTTTGTTAGACTTGAATGTATATACGAGTCATGCATTGGAGGAAGGATCTGTGGTTCGACTAGTTTGACTTGTATCAGTACTCTCCTCAAATTCAAGATGTGCTTGAGAAAACATGATATTAGGATAACCATCATATTTGATTGATGAATTGAATAGATATTAGGACCTTGAAAATGAGCTTGATGATAAAGCTAATTGGCCAAAGCCTATTAAAGACCATTTTATTCATCTATTATATGAAGAGGCAAAAAGAGGCTTGCAAACCAATACTTTGGATAAGAATGAGTGGGTTGCGATAGAAAAGAAGTTGTTTGACAAGTTTGGGAAGAGATACAATCGTGACAAATTTAAATAATTTCATAAAAATCACAATTTTTGAGTTTCCTATTTGGATAGGATACCAAACAGGCCCTAACTAGTTACAAGATGTTGCGTTCAAATATTTGTATCTATCGTTTGATTCAAAGTAAACTTCATGAGGACCCACGATATTTGACTAGAGAGTTGTTGAAAATTCAGCCTCACACCTGATCCTCTATAGCCTAGGCCAACTTACCAATGTTGAAAAGGCAAGGGCCCTCAATTTAAGTATTGTTAAGTTGTAATGATATCTTTGTGGAATGCAGATGTTATCGATTTGTCATTTTTCAAGTCAATTGTCCAAACTACCAAGTACGAGATTAAAAGATAGAGGACACAGCACTACACACTATAATATTGAATTTATATCAAAATTCACAGGATAAGGCATCCATAAACAACCATTTATTCTATTAATATTATATCATAATGATTTTTGTAAGTAGTGAAAAACAACCATTTGTAAGGCCTTTTCTGCTTTTTCCACATATAATTATTGTTTTTTTCTTCTTCTAATTGTTGTCGTACCAGAACTGTTTCTGGAGATAGTCAACCACCTTGTTGTCAACTTGGAAGGCCTTGGTTAGAACATCAGGATTGATGGGTGGCTTGGAGCCAAACACTGCATTGGCTATGGTGATCACTCCTGGGTTCTGGCTGCTAAGCCCAGCAAAGGCTACAGCGTTGACATGTGCCACATTGAGTTGAAAATGAATGAGGCCAATTGGGAACACAAACACATCTCCCTTGTTCAACACTTTGGTGAATAGGCGATTGCCATCACCGTTGGATGTGACGAAACCAACGTAGAGTGTTCCTTCCAAGACCACAAGGATTTCCGTGGCACGAGGGTGAGTGTGAGGAGGGTTTAGGCCATTTGGTGCAAAGTCTAAGCGGGCCAAGGATATGCCGAGAGTGTTCAGTCCTGCTAGGTTGTCCACATTCACGGCTGTCACATTTGAACCAACCGGATTTTGTGTATTTCTTGGATTTTGAAGCCCAGAAAAGAAGAAATCATTTGCATTGGCAAGCTTTGGGTCCTTGCAGAATTTCCCGTTCACAAACACTGTTTGCACCAAAAATAAAAATAAAAAGTAATAAAATTTTAGTATTATAGTAAGTTGACAGCAAGTGCATTAACATGTACAATATACGTATTTGGACCATATATAATTATTTCCTCTCTAACAGATGTAAAATCCCCGTAAGTGGACCCAATAAATTTTTGGTATAAACTAGTACTTCATATATGCATAAGAAACAATGTATATTTGTCTGTGCATGTAAAATTACATACGTGAAAATGCCATGCATATAACAGAAAAACAGTCTTTCATATATTCTTAATATGGAAATAATAATAGGGAAAAATATAATATAGCAGGATATAAATGTATACCACCATCTTTGATGTCCTTAAGTGCTACACAGAAGTCCTGAAGAGGACTGGGGTCATAGGCGGAGGCAAGGAACGTTGCAAATGCCAAAATGGCAAGAGTGCTTATGAGAAAATGATAACCTTTCATCGCAGTTGGCTCTGCTAGGTTGCCTTAAAACTTTGTGTTACTGTTTTTTGTGTGTAGAGAGTTGGCCTGAGGGTGGGATGAAAATCCTTCATGGCATATAAGTCTATTTATAGATTGGAGAGAATGAACTAGTCTTCTACTTTTGGATATAATTTTCCTTATCGAAGCAGGTAAAGACTTAAATATTATATTTAGAAGCAAGTCAAGACTAGTTGGTATATAGACCAAAATTTGATATTTATTTCTTCTGTCCTGATCCATATAGCTTGAATTTTTTACTTCACATTGATTGCATCTCTTTTTTTTCTTCCGTCATGATGCATATGCATAGGCTTAATGTCTTTCTTCGACACAAGGTGAATGTAAATAACAAGAAGGATATGAATCGAATTAGAGAATTCTATTAAAAGCATGCATAGTTCAGTAACTAAATCTCAATAAAGTTAGCAACAAATAAACATTGAGGGCCCGTTTGATAACCATTTCAATTTTAGTGTTTAGTTTTCATTTTTCGTGTTAGAGTATAGAGGAAAATGAAAGTGAGAATGGGAGCAAGTGTGAGATTGAGAGAGAGGATGAGAGGGGAGGATGGGAGGGATATAAGTAACAAAAGTGAAAACAAAAACTTGAAAGTGAAAACAATTTCAAATAGATTTCAGTTTTTTAATTTTGTTTTCACTTTTGTTACTCCTCCCTCCCATCCTCCCCTCTCATCTTCCCTCTTAATCCCATCTCTACTCTCATTCTCACTTCCATTCTCCCTCTTGTTCCTCTATACTTTAGCACAAAAAATGAAAGCTAAAAACTAAAATTGAAATGGTTATCAAACGGACCCTAAATATATGAACTAAGGCCGATCAACCATTGAACAAGGCAAATTTTCTATATATATATGTTATTGCTATTAAAAATAAACAAATATAAGTTGTGATAGAATTTTCAAGATCTTTGACTCAGCCCATTGTTTGTTGTTTCAATAAAATAAAATGCCTTTTGTAAAGGTCTATTAGGGTTGTTTAATACAAGGTGAGGTGAGGAAGAATATGTTTATATAATCATGATGACAAAGACCACGTATTAGGAGTTGTACCAGAAAGAGAGTAGTTATAGGAGATAATTATATTTAAAAAATTTAGTTGGTATTTAATCAACGGAAACGTTCAATTTTTATGTTATATGGATTCATTCTACCCTAAATATAAAATATGACAGTTCCCCAATTGCTCCTATCATTTCCACCTGCACCGTAGAAAGTTTAGTGCATGACTTTTCTTCCTCTTCATTTTCACCTTCTAGAGCTAGTTTGAAACTGGTCTTGGTCTGCTGCTCATGGTGGATTTTCTGTGAGCTATGGTGTTTTAGGATTTAGCTGGTGGAAAGACGGATTGTAATGTTTTTCCCATCGCACTAACCCAAGCGACTCTCCCCAGAGGCCCGAGTGCTCCTACGTCATATCCCACGTCTGTTGTTCCCTAAAAAAGGAAAGGACACACGTCAGTCTGTCACCGATCACCCAATAGAATGGTTCCACGTCATCAACCTCTCTTGAGTCCCACATCAGAAAAATGACCGTACTTGGCCACCACCGTACTTGGCCACTCCAAGTGCGATAGAGACATACATAAATACAACTTCAAGACCACGTCCACCCTTGAGAAAGGGTTAACTAAGTTTGATGCACTCTGATTGGTGGTGTGAATTCCACAGTACATATCAACCAATGTAGTAAAAAATTGTGGAAAAAAATTAAGTAAAAAGCAAATAAAAAAGTAGGGTCGATTTGAGCTAAGGAGTTGTCAACTCGAATTGATTGTATTAGCAGCAATCAAGTAGAATCACAACAGTAATAGTACGTCGTTTGGGAAATAATAGCTGCAGATGGCAGAGCAATCTTGAACATAATTAGGGTTGCAATATGGCAGAGCAATCTTATTTGTCAGTAACTAAATCTCAATTAGGTTAGCAACTAAATCTCAAGTAGGTTAGCAAAAAGAGAACCACAATAAACTAAATATATCAACTAAAATTCATTCTACCAACTAAATTTAGATTCGTTAATTACTAGTTAATGTCATATGGATTCATACTACCAAAGAGTTCAATCTCTCATTAACATTGATGGTGACCTTCCACCTCCACCTCCACCTGCACCGTAGAAAGTTGAGTGCATGATGACTTTCTCTCTTCTTTACCATTTTTCACCTTCTAGCTCTTCGTTTGAAACTGGTCCTGCTCTTCGTTTTTAGAAGCAGCGGCTGCTTCTCACTATCCTCCCATTTGTGGTTAATTAGTTGGTGGATGTAATTATGGGACCTGCTTTTCCTCAAAGTCTTCTGTTCGTCCTTACTTTTTTTATCGAGTACAATTAGGTACAATAAATTTGTTCACCAAATTTTATTTACCAAATAGTGTGGTAGTGTTGAATTTCGATTGGAGGAAGATGTTCTTGAAGATGTCGGATCTAACGGAGAAGAGTGTGGCCCAATGGCCTACTTCATTTATTGTTGTTATTCTTCAATAAGTATGCTAATTGAGCTTGTTGATCATATTTGTATGGTATTAAAATATGGATGTTAAAATAGTATGTTTAAAATATTTATAATAATGTTTATCAAAATATCTTAATTACAAAAAAAAAATATGAAAAAAAAAATTGTTTTCAAGAATTCAACCAAACAAGTTTTCAAATTTTAAAGATTTTAAAACAGTTTTCAAGTTGCATACTAAACAACTTTTTTGAATCTTAAAAAATGGATTAGAGAACTCCTTGTTTTTAAGAAAAATCATAGTTTTTGAGTTTCTTACTTGGATAAGATACCAAACATGCCCTAACTGGCTACAGAATGTTTCGTTCAAATATTTGTATCTATCGATTCATTCGAGTAAAGTTCAAGAGCACCCATTGATATTTGACTATAGAGTTGTTGAAAATTCAGCCTCCACCTGATTCTCTATAGCCTAGGCCAACTTACCAAGGGTCCTCAATTTAAGTATTGCTAGGTTGTAATGATATCTTTGTGGAATGCAGATGTTATCAATTGGTCTTCAAGTCAATTGTCCAAAGTACAAGTACGAGATTAAAAGATAGAGCACACAGCATTTATATCAAAATTCGCAGGATAAGGCATCCATAAACAACCATTTTTATTCAATTAATATTAGATCATAATAATTTTTGTAAGTAGTGAAAAACAACCATTTGTAAAGCCTTCTCTGCATTCCACATAATTATCGTTTTTTTTTTCTTTCTAATTGTTGTCGTACCAGAACTGTTTCTGGAGATAGTCAACCACCTTATTATCCACTTGGAAGGCCTTGGTTAGAACATCAGGATTGATGGGAGGCTTGGAGCCAAACACTGCATTGGCTATGGTGATCACTCCTGGGTTCTGGCTGCTAAGCCCAGCAAAGGCCACAGCGTCGACATGTCCCACATTGAGTTGAAAGTGAATGAGGCCAATTGGGAACACAAACACATCTCCCTTGTACAACACTTTGGTGAATAGGCGATTGCCATCACCATTGGATGTGACGAAACCAACATAGAGTGTTCCTTCCAGGACCACAAGGATTTCGGTGCCGCGAGGGTGAGTGTGAGGAGGGTTTAGGCCATTTGGTGCAAAGTCTATGCGAGCCAAGGATATGCCGAGAGTGTTCAATCCTGCTAGGTTGTCCACGTTCACAGCTGTCACATTTGAACCAACCGGATTTTTTGTGTTTCTTGGATTTTGAAGCCCAGAAAAGAAGAAATCATTTGCAATGACAAGCTTTGGGTCCTTGCAGAATTTCCCATTCACAAACACTGTTTGCACCAAACAGAAAAAAAGTAATAAAATTTTAGTATTAGTAAGTTGACAGCAAGTGCATTGACATGTACAATATATGTATTTGGACCAAAGGCATATATATATATATATATATATATATATATATTTAATAGAAAAACAGTCTTTCATATATTCTTAATGCCTTACGAAAATAATTAATGTGGAAATAATAGTAGGGAAAAATATAATATATGAGGATATAAATGTATACCACCATCTTTGATGTCCTTAAGTGCTACACAGAAGTCCTGAAGAGGACTGGGGTCATAGGCGGAGGCAAGGAACGTTGCAAATGCCAAAATGGCAAGAGTGCTTATGAGAAAATGATAACCTTTCATCGCAGTTGGCTCTGCTAGGTTGCCTTAAAACTTTGTGTTACTGTTTTTTGTGTGTAGAGAGTTGGCCTGAGGGTGGGATGAAAATCCTTCATGGCATATAAGTCTATTTATAGATTGGAGAGAATGAACTAGTCTTCTACTTTTGGATATAATTTTCCTTATCGAAGCAGGTAAAGACTTAAATATTATATTTAGAAGCAAGTCAAGACTAGTGGGTATATATTGACCAAAATTTGATATTAGTTTCTTCCGTCCTGATCCATATAGCTTGAATTTTTTAATTTGATATCTGTTTTTTTTCTTCCGTCCTGATGCATATGCATAGGCTTATTGTCTTTCTTTGACACAAGGTGAATGTAAATAACAAGAAGGATATGAATCGTATTAGAATTCTATTAAAAGCATGCATAGTTCAATAACTAAATCTTGATAAAGAAAGCAAAAAATAAACACTAGGGGTCCGTTTGATAACCATTTCAATTTTCATTTTTTGTGCTAGAGTATAGAGAAAAATGAAAGTGAGAATAAGAGTGAGTGTGGGATTAGGAGAGAGGATGAGAGGGGAGGATGTGAGGGAGGAGTACGTAATAAAAGTGAAAACAAAAACTTGAAAGTGAACACAATTTCAAATAAATTTCAGTTTTTTAATTTTGTTTTCACTTTTGTTACTCCTCCGTCCTCTCCTCCTCTTTCATCTTCCTTCTAAATCCCATCTCCACTCTCATTCTCAATTTCATTCTCCCTCTTGTTCTTCTATACTTAAGCACAAAAAATGAAAGCTAAAAACTATAAACTTAAAATGGTTATCAAATGGGCTCTAAATATATCAACTAAGTCCGATTAACCATTGAACAGGGCAAATTTTCTATATATATGTTATTACTATTGAAAATAAAACAAATATCAGTTGTGATAGAATTTTCAAGATC